AGAGAGAGAGAGAGAGAGAGAGAGAGAGAGAGAGAGAGAGAGAGAGAGAGATTTATCAATAAATGGTTCGACTCATCAAATAAATCGTTGGATCTATTCAATTTTTTGAAGCGTTTTTGTTTTAAAATCTTAATAAATTGGTCATTGTAAATAGATTACAGAAAAATTTGAATTATTAATTTTCTTTTTTTTTATTCCCCACAGGAGCTGAGTATTTTACCGAATAAATTCAATTCTTCAGGTGCAACTTTTAATTATGTACGTAAGACATCCGAAGAATCTGGACCATCTGGATCATCTGGACCATCTGAACCATCTGAACCATCTGAACCATCTTCAGGTGTATACTCTTGCAGAGCAACGGTGAATGGAAAGCAAGGAAAGTTGATTGCCATAAGCTATGCGTGCCCCCAAGGAATGATAATCGGTGTTACTAATATTTTTATTTCTTAGTTATCATCCAATTGATTGTGCCTAATCGTAACTGTTTACCGAATTTAAAAAAAACAACTTTCTCTGGGATAAAATTGAATCGTTTCTTAATTTTTTGAATGCTTCTATATTCAGAAGTTTGAAATTTAATTCTTCATTGTAATCCAGTTTTATGTTGCAATAAATAAAAGATAATCAGTTTATAAATTCAAGATATTTATTGGCTCAAATCCACATTCTGCACAAATGAACGTAATAATTCGTCTGTCATCTATTTCCATTGAATTAAATCCATGGTCATTTCTAATCAATGATTATAGCACAACGTTTATTTCTTGACATATCGTAAGTATTTCTTGGCGCTGAAATTATCTTCCAAATCCTCTTCAACTTTGACAACAATTTGTGGTTTACGTCCCTCCAAACGTTTCTTTCGTTCTTCCTCTGTCAATGTACTCAAATCAAGTGGTAACTGTAACAAAATTGTTGAAAATGAACATGAAATTGGTGTTGGTGGGAATAATACCGGGATTGCACGAACGTTTGGCAGAGAATGCATCAAGAAAAATGATTTCTTAAAAACGCAACATGAATCGTGATTCAGTAGAAATGTAACATGAATAGTGTGAATGTAAAAACGATTAAAACTGTGTTTTTTGCAAACTGATGAGAGATGATTGATTTAGTTTTATATGTAAAGTTGTTTTGATTGGTTTTCATACAAAATCAACATAGTCAGTCAGTCAGTCACTTTATTTTGACACGGGATTTCATAGAATCAGAATGAATGAATGACCCGCGAGAATTTGCATTTCATTCAATGTATGATGATGCAAAAAACATTGCAATCATTCGCCAAAATGACTTTACTAGTTTTGTCGGTAGTATTTGAAATTTTCTTTATTGTCTAGACTATTTGACCAATGAACTCACCTGTTTCCCCCCGTAGTATGCAAATGTCTTTTTCGTCCACATCATAGCATTCATGGAGTGGGATAATTACCTTGATGACCCCATTGAAATGCGTCTACCCCATTAGCATAATTGTAACACCAAAAACGTGTGAGATTCAATTTGGAGTATGTCGAATAGTTATTGTCGTATAAGTAGCTTTTGATTGACGGGTGTTTTTATTCAATTTGAAATTAATTCTGATCATTTATATTAATTTCAAAGGAACACTACGAAACCATTATGGATGAATGCCACTGAAGAAAAAAAAAATATCGAAAGCGTTGTGTTTTACGTTTTCAAGCATATCTTTCTTAAGCTTTATTACAGTCAGTAGTAGTAACAATTCGATAAATCTATGTACGTGTAAAATGTTATACGACTTTGGGTCCATTGCCAGCGGTTAGATCTCTCTTTTCGATCTTTCGCAATTGCTTCTTCTTCATTCGCTTGAGTTTGGCTGGATTCTTGATAACTTGCACGATTTCATTTTTGCGTTCATTTTCCAGGCGTCGTTTTGCATTTTCCTCTCGACGCTCCTTCTTCTGGATGTTTTCCAGCTTCTTGTCTTCCTTGATCGATTTCGATAGTTCTTTGATGTGTTTCAATTCTTCACGTAACTGTTGCTTCTTCTCAAATGGCCGTCGATAGATTGATTTCTTGACTGTCGAGAATCTGAAATGGTTCAAGGGAATTGATTAATACGTTTTGGGATGGAAACAGTCATTCTAAAAGTTTTAATAATGTTTTCTGTCTACTACAGCTCCCTTTAGTGAAGTGTGAATCGAATTTTTTTGTTCTAGCTATCGTATATTGTTATGCGGTATTACCTTTGTTTAACCTCCTTCCATGGTCGTCCCGATTTCGGTTTGCCACGAACAACTTTTGGTGCGGCGCTCTTCTTAACTGCCGTTGAATTCGAGCTACCATTCTCACTTTTCTTCATGTCCGATTTCTTTGCCGAATATTCCTCTTTGATTGAACTTATGATGCTAGCGACTAAGACATCGTCATTTTGTTTTTGCGGTGCCTTTTTCTTGCTTGGAACTTCCACTTCAGCATTTTCATCCACTGCAATGCTTTGTGACGCGGTTCGACTTCTGGTACGCATTTTATTCAGTTAACTACCAGACAAATAAATCTAAAAGTAAGCGAGCAATTCTTCAGAGAAAAACTGTTGATCAAAACACATGTAATCAAAATACTGTCAAATGCAAGTGACAGCCGTAACATGCCCATGTGTTGTTATTGTGTATTGAGGTTATGTCATCATTATTTGAATTTTCATTTTCATTCGACCGGAGGTAATTTTAATTTTGAAAATTATTCATAATTTATTTTCATGCTCAAAAAGTTGGATTTTACAATTTATCTCTTCCATAATTGCCACTTAATCATTTTTCGGAGAAAATGTTCAACCGAAAATCTAGTCCATTCGTAATGACTTTTGTAGCGAGTGTATGCAGCCAGTTTTGCTTTGCGCCTTGTCAATGGTGGATCGCATTCTAAAATACAACAACTTGTTTAGACTGTCGGCATTGCTGCTGTCAAATTGATTTTTGCATTGAGCTACTATAAAATTTCACGTTGCGGTATTCTTTATTTGCCGCTTTTAACGAAAAAACAACCATCTCAAGGTAATTTTTCAATCATTTTAACGAGAAGCAAATAGCGAATATGTCTCAGAACGCGGACAACACATGGTCGTCCACCGAAGCAAAGGAAAGTCCACAGGAGATTGCCAAATTGGTTAGTATGCAAAAGTGTTTTTTTTTTCTTGCTTGACATTGAGTTTCTGCGTCATGCACAACATTCTTTGATATTTCTTGGAATTTTTTTTCGGTGCAAATGCATTTTAGGTGGATAATTTATCGCTGAAGAAAGATGGCGAAGTAAAATCCGAGGATGGCAGCGTCGATGTTGCAAAGTGAGTATTTGTTTGAAAAGTATTCGATTTTAACAGATTTCATGATATTCCGTAAATTTTCTTGTAGTCCGGCTGACGCCAGTTTATTGCAAAAAATCATTCGCAAAGGTTTGGTCGACACAAAATCCGAATTGGACATCATCCGTCAGGATCCAAATTCACCGCTTTATTCGGCAAAAACATTTGAAGAATTGAAATTGTAAGTTGGTTTATAGCTTAAATTTGACAGTTGATTGCATTGTGTTGATGTGGCTTGATGATATCATTACAGAAAACAAGAACTGTTGCGGGGAGTTTATGCAATGGGTTTTAATAAACCATCGAAAATTCAGGTAATAATCGGTTTAAATGTCAATCATTTTATAGAGAAAACGGTTTTGGGTTGCTATTTGCTATTAAATTTGAGCATTATTTTTTGTGACAACTTTTCATTGGCAAGTGATGGCTTGGCAAAATTCAGTTTAAGCACGTGCTTATTGCATTTTTACAAGGCAACTTCTAATTCTTTCGATTGGAAAATCTTCCACTAAAATTCATTTCTGACTACGGAACCAATTCTCAACACATGGATAGTTGCGATAACTTGACTAATCCATTTTGATTTGAATTGACAGGAAACCGCCCTTCCAACTCTGCTCGCCGATCCACCACAGAACATGATTGCTCAAAGTCAATCTGGTACTGGTAAAACCGCCGCTTTCGTCATTGCTATGTTGAGTCGTGTCGACACATCGAAGAATTATCCGCAAATCTTGTGCTTATCGCCAACGTACGAGTTGGCTATTCAAACGGGTGAAGTTGCCGCTAAAATTGCACAGTACTCTCCCATCAAGTTGCGTTACGCTGTTCGCGGTGAAGAAAGTAAGTCGGATACAAGTTTTATTCATATACATTCATTTTGCCTATGGAAACGATATTCGAATCATTCATTTGCCAAATGTTTTAGTCGCCCGTGGTACCAAGCTGGATGACCACATCATCATTGGCACACCAGGAAAAGTGCTTGATTGGTGCACCAAGTTTCGTGTGTTTGACATCAAGAGAATCAATGTGTTTGTATTGGATGAAGCCGATGTCATGATTGCAACACAAGGTCATCAGGATCAGTGTATCCGCATCCACAAGTAAGACATTGTTGTTTATCTCATTTCGATTCGAAATGAAAGCCAGAGTCTATTTTCAGTGGAATTGTTTCATTCGATTTATATGATTTCTTCTTAGAATCATGTCTGTTCCGCGTTCGTATCCGAAAAATAAAAACATTTTCCTTTCCCACAGACAATTGCCACCGACATGTCAAATGATGTTGTTCTCAGCCACATACGATCGATCGGTGATGGAATTCGCGCAACACATCGTCAAGAATCCGATTGTGATCAAGTTGTTGCGCGAACAAGAATCATTGGACAATATCACACAGTATTATGTGCGCTGCCGTGATCAAGATGAAAAGTATCAGGCCATTCAGAACATCTATGGTGTTATCACAATTGGTCAAGCTATCATCTTCTGTCAGGTAAGTTTTAGCCATAACAAATTGTTTGGAAGGAACTTGAACATAGAATCTGCTTGGTTTTTATAGACGCGTAAAGCGGCCAACTATTTAGCGGTAAGAATGACAAAAGATGGCCATTCGGTGGCCGTGCTCTCTGGTGATTTGACGGTCGAACAGCGATTGGCTGTATTGGATCGCTTCCGTGCCGGTTTGGAAAAGGTGTTGATCACAACCAACGTTCTATCGCGTGGTATCGACGTTGAACAAGTCACAATCGTTGTGAACTTTGACTTGCCCGTTGACCAAAACGGTGAAGCTGACTGCGAAACATACCTTCATCGTATCGGCCGAACTGGACGTTTTGGTTAGTACTAAAAAATGCTCGCGTATTTCTTTAACTACTCTTTTGAATGATTTTTTATGACTTGGACTCCATTTTGGTTTCTTTTTCAGGCAAAAATGGTATTGCTATCAACTTAGTTGATTCGGAAAAGAATATGGAAGTGTGTCGAGAAATCGAAAAGCATTTTGGAAAGAAGATTCACTTGTTGGACGCAGACGATTCAGATGAGATCGAAAAAATTGGATCATAAATAATTTGCACGTCAGTGCACTTAAAACATAAACAATTCCTGTGTCTAAAAGCCCTAAATACTTCACGCTCCGAAGTATATGAAGAACGGGTCGAACCTAATTGCAAAACAAACAACACTTTTTATTATCATATAAAACGCATTATAACTGTCAATCGAAAAAAAAGACTAAAAATAAACAAAAACACAGATATTTTTCATTTGGAAATGATTTAGAGTTGTTTTATTTTCTAATAAAGTAAGCCCAATAGGGAACAACGAAAGACTTTCAAAAAAACCTGGTCAAAAAGATGTTTTCAAAATATTGAGGGAATTCTCTGTGTGGAAAAAGAAAGACATAGCCCGATATACTTGACAAGAAAAACACATGCATTATTTTCATTCCATAATGTGCAGTTTGGTTTATTTTATGTGGTCGTATTAACATAGAATCAGTTTTATACATGCTTAGAATATAGAAGCGAAATATTTTACGATGAACTTGACAGCTGACACGCACGCACGGCTATCAATTGAAGTAGTACAAAAATTGGTGCAAAAACTTCGCTATACTCTAGATTTTGTGCACCGGACAATTTAAGACATAGCAAATATTTGAAAACACCCGTTAAGACCAGCACTTTTACACTCCACAATAGTCGTTGTAGCGCTTTCCGTTTGTTATCATTATCTAAATACATACGAATGCCAACTATTATACTGAAATAACTATTGCAAATGTCACCGCAAAAAAGTGGCGAGAAAACGGTAAACCAATCCATTGATTCTTCGGATACATCTCCGGCTAGTCGTACCGCAAGGATTATGGAAAATATAAATAGTGCAACTAAATTCGTAAATATTTCAAATTCAGCTAAACCTAACCACTGCACAAGTTCATGAATTTCAAACATTGTTCTTAACTATAGCGTTCCGTTTGGATAGAGTTGAAGAGTGTATCTATGCCTGAGCCTTTTTCAAGTTGTTTGAATGTCGGAAAATTCTTATGTGTAAACACGAGTTCTTTCGCTTCTGAATGGAAAAGTCTTCTTCATCATTCAATGGATGCAAGTCATCTGAAAAGGAGGATGAAGCAAAAAGGTACGAACGAGTTAGAATCATGGTCAATTTTGAGTCAACAGAAGTGTGTCCAATGAATGCAACATACCAATTAAATCAATGGTCGATGTATTCGCTTCGTAACCCAATCGGTTTTCTGATTCCTGTACGAGTTTCAGTGCCAATGTGATTCCACGTTTAATCGCATTACCCAAGCAATGCAAGTAAATTTCGCCAATTGCTTCAGTTTCCAATAGCTCTTGGCATTGTTTCATCTGCGCCTACAATTTTAAATCAATATTAAAATATCCCATTCAATTGAAATGCGTCTTTAATTCAATTTTTAATTGAACCAAACTCTGATTCAACTGTACACTCCCCTTCAATTTACCTGAAAATTCGATTTGTTGGACACATAAATGTCACACTTTCGATGGATCGGTTTCGATATAGGTCTTTTGTTTAATGAATGTGTCTTTGGATTAAATTCACGACGCTGCCGATTCAATTGTTGTTGTGGATGATTTTGATGCGACTTACTTGTTGCTGCACTTGATGTTTCGGGTGCATCCATAATATTCGCAAATCTCAAGAGACGTTTTCGTATTTTTTTCACGTCGTCAATCGCAAATTTATATTGTTATGTACGAGTTCGACAAAAGAAACACATTTAATATTCACAGATGCAAAGTGACAGTAGACAGATTGTGGTACTAGATTTGATTTCGAATTTGAATCATTGTATGCATAGATTGCTCATTGTTGTGAAATTGTTTCGAAGTTCGAAGAAGAATAAATTCAATGTGCAATATTATCAGTTACTCAGAAAAGTGTTGTCAATGTTCAGGCTTGTCTGGAATTTCATTGTTTACTTTTGGAACGATCGATTGAAGGTTCAAAGGCGACCGACCGACAAATAACTTGAAAATAATGACTCTTTTTGTTTGCATTTCCTGGATTGAAATATGCCGAAGTTGATATGCACTTCTTTGAATTAGTTCTGCAGATAAGGAACCAATTTTGGTTTCTTCCTCGGAAAAATAGAATAATGGCCTTTATGGAAGTTGATCGTTGGTCGGAAACGTTTTGAAATGAAGCCCATTTGAAAATGTTAAACATGCCATCGGTAACAAATGACATTTAACCTGGGTATTTCCATTTGCATTTTGTTTACATACACAAACCAAACTAAGATGGAACGGAGAATATACTCTCTGTAAACCACAAACTGCACTTTAAACAGTTCAAAGGAAAGGGCACATCCAACGCGATGTCTTGCATATCAAAATTTGCCTGCAACGAAAAGTCTCTCCCACCCCGCGGTATGACAGATATGATCACGATGCTGCACTGATTCTCGCGTGTTGACAAAAAATAGAATCAATTTCTCTTCTACGCCATAGCGATGGGTCCAATGTATTGATGGAAATGTTTAGCATGCAACGAAGTAGGTTTCGCTTCTATTTTCGCTGAATGAGAACGATACGGTGCATTGTATGTTTGATGCCCCATAGATCGATTCGATGTTAGTGTATATAAATATAGCATTGTTGTGAATGCCACGCCATGGCATGCAATTCACAAGGTACATGCAATGCAAAGACAAGATAAGACCTGCACATACAATTCTCATCTATCGAGATGGAGAAGAAGGAAAAAAAAAATATGGTACACAACCCAGACCGAATGTCATACATGTAAAGCATGAATGTGACGATGAGAGAGTGCAAAGAGAGCTGTGTGTTATGTTGTGCCTGAGCATGGTCTTTGGAATTCTATGTTATTATTAGTGTATGCGATTGTTCAACAGGTACAGGCATTAAAATGTGAAAACTGGTTTGGTTCGACAGAAAAATAAATGAGTTTTGTGAAACAAGCAAGAGAGCGCTTTGCACACACACGCACACCCTGCAGTATGGTGTACACCGAAAATGAATGGTAACTTGTCGACGACATGAAGAGCGAAACGAAGATGAAAGAACTAATAAACAAGAATTGAATGGCTCAACACATACATACACAATTGCGATTAGCACTGAAAATCCAAGTCGAGAGTCTCAACATACACACAGCACTTGCACGAAAACAACGATGCAAACGGCAAATGCGAGTCCATACTCTGTCGGTTGTATGCCAACGGGTCCAAAAACTATTTTTATTTTACTTGTGTGTGTTGTTTTGGATCTCATTGCTGATCATGTTGTTCGCCTCTCTCTTTTATGAGTTTATTCCGTATGCAGGGTAAAAGCCGAAGAACCGCAATTCTGCTTTGCTCTTGTACGGCACACCGACACAAAAGCACACACATACTCATACCCATACCATTCAACTGCCATTTTCAATTGTACAACAGCAATGACGACGAATCGCACCGATATTCGTCCGCGCGTTCAGTGAGCTGACGACATTCAACCAGAACGGTGTGTATACATCAACAAACACTGAGTGCGACTTGTATTGCTTTTGCATATATCTTTTGATTTTATTGATCATCATTGAGTGAAGAGGGACAGAGTGTTCTTTCATCAATCAGTTTCGTTTTTTTTCATTTCTTCACTCACATCGAATTTTGTTCTCTTCAAACAAGTGTTGTTATCCGTGTGATTTGCTTCTTTTGCATGTAAGTGATCGAAAGCGAAGAATAAACGAATTGCAGCGAAGAAAAAAAGAATCCGTTTGGTCAATTGATTTCTATTCCAAAGAAATAAGAGTCAGAGAAAAAAAAGTCCATTGAAATTCGCCGTCGACGTTTTGAACTGCCACCTCATGCGGTCGATTCGTTTTTTTTTTGTTATTCTTTTTTTAATAATCATTAGAATTTCTATTCAGAGAGTTTGTTGACTGAGAATTCCTTCCTTTTGAGTCTAATAATATACATATTTCATTTTATCTTTCTGCTTCTCTTTTGCATGTGGATCGCCTTTGGAACGACAATGTCGACATCAACACAACATGAAAATAAAAAAATGTAACAGTGAATCGTTGAAAAATTTTTGGTTTTAACCAAGAGAAGAAGAAGAAGAAAAAAAACGAAAGAAAGATAATGAATCGAAATTGATGAGAATTTTGCATCAGAATTTGTGAAATAATGGATTATCGAAAACAAGTTTATTATAAACGGGAATATCAGTTATCAAGTTAGTGAGTTCAAACGTTGAGACAAAAGAAGAGAAGAAACCTGAGTGGTTGACATAATCGGTGTGCAATCTAAAGGCAACAAAGATATAAAAATACACTCCGAACGAAAGAAAAAGAGAAAATAAAACAAGAAGAAAAAAGATCATTCGCTTTTGAATGCAGACGAATGAATTAGGAATCAAGCGAGTTCTTTGTGTGTGATTAAGAAATAAAAAGCAAAAAGGAACGACAATCAAACAGGAACACAAACAATAAATAAAAAAACAAAAATAAAAACGAAAAAGATTCACCAGAGCCGAAGGAATAAAAATATTCTTTAATAAAAACGCTTATTCACGCACACACACACACACTCGCTCGCTTGCTCGTAAGCATACATAAATAAAAACACACTCCGACTCAAAAATGCCGTGCTCAGCAGTTACACTATCACTAGCCACAATAGCAGCGATTGTTTCCGTTGCGTTGCTGTCGATCGCTTTCTCAACGGACAATTGGCTTAGCTACGAAGTCAAAAGGAATAACATACAGGTATGTGTATATGTGTATTGGCTTCGTCATTATTCATCTTCATAAAGGATCTCCTTCTTCGGTGTGGCACAGCAATGACGACGACGACTATCGCCGCCGTCGTCGTTGTCGTTGTCGTCATTAGGGCCATTTTTTATGGTATTTGAAATTTCCACGCTTCGATTAGATTTCAAATAAATTTTCTCCACACACACACATTAATCACTTATAGAATCGACTCGATTACAAGTAGAACAGAAAAAAATAACCGATATCAAGCGAACGAACAACCCGGATCGGTTCTTTATGTGTTCGACAATGTACCTGCAATGTTCAGTGTTTCGCAAGAGCAACACCAAAAGAACTAGATGAGATAGAATTGATTGCTTGTTCTCTGCTCAGCTCACTTGCTTTGCTTGCATAGGCAATGGCAACAACAGCAGCCTGTAATTATCGTCGGTTCGGTTTGGTTAGGCGTTAATGTGTGTATGCGCCACGAGAGTAAACCGAGAGCGAGGAAGTGAAATAACATTTTGAAAAAAAAGCAGGCAGACACACACACACACACACACACGATAGATAGAATGCTAGATTTATTGTTTGGTTGCCAGATTTCAAAATATCGTAGGTATACACACAGCTCTCGATGGTTGCCTCTGAGTGGTTTTCTCTCGATACATTCATATGAGTTTGTTTTTTTCTCCCGTACGCGTATTTCTTGTTTCTTCACATGCTAAAATACATCCATTTCCATCGTTCTTCGATTCGAATATGTTTGAGCTGTCGTTCCCGTATCGCTGCTACCGAGTTCTGTTCGTCTGAAACAAAACAAAAAATTAAATAAATATGATGTGGCAATCATGTTTGAGCTCATGTTCATGATAGAAAGTGTCTATACGATAAATTTATGCAAAGTGAATGAATGGATTGAATTAAAAAGTTACATCCGATTCAAACAAAGGGAAACAAACTTCCCATTCTTTTTGGTTTTCATTTGATTATGTGTACGTTTTTAGTTAGAGAGTTGGTTTTTCAACCGACATCTAGTTCTGCTTCTTCATCATCATCGACACGATATGTCGAGAAATAGATGTTTATCACGAGAAATATGAAAAGAAAGACGTTAAATTAGATCAATTATCATGATTCTGGCTGATGTCGTCGTCGTCGTCGTCGTCATCGTCGCCGTCGCCGCAGTCGTCAATGTTGATGTTTGCTCTGCGCGTGGAATTCCAAACTATTACCGAAAACGAGAAGCAAACACACGATCTCTATGTAAACAAGTCTCTCTTTCTAACTATCATATCTCATTGAAAACCATTTGTGCGAAATTCTTCTTCTGCGTCTTGTTGTTGCTGTTGCGAACAACTTGTTGCTGTTGCGAACAACTTGTTGCCTCCATCTCGCTCACGATGTGCAAAATGTACCTGTGATCCAATCAAAGAAATGAACGTCTGAACATGAAATATGTCATCGCAATTAAATACAAGCGAAGTCATTTTTTTCTTCTTCTGTTCGTGCTCGCGAGCTTAACGTTTCTGAGTTGCTAGCATTAAGTGGCTAGAATGAGCACGAATGTGCACAACAACATACAATGAATGATACAGGGGGCTTTCTTAAAGTGAAAAGTGATGCGCGTATTATTAGCGCTATAAAGTTTCTTTGCTCTCTGTCTCTGTCTGTCTGTCTGCCTGTATGGCAGGCCTTCATCTCTATGTTGGCCGATGTCGGCTTACGATGAGGTAAAATGAAACCCAGAACGAGTATAACGTGTCGTAATTGTGTGGCTGTTGTGGTGCCAAGTGTGTGTATGTGCATGAGAGATGCAATACATCGAAGAATGGAATGGAATGGAATGCAAGTGCACAGACAAAACCCATTCTATAAATGCACCATGCACAACAACACGATATTTTCTTTTTCTTTGGCTCTCTCGCCACTTACCTTCTTTCTTCGTTCGCTTCGTTATTGTTGTTGTTGATTTTTTTCTTTCTCTCGCTATCTGCATCGATTTCCAGCCGATGATTTTACCATTTCGTTTCATATTTTTCATTTATAATAAACAGCTTATGTACGTACATATTTTGTGTGTCTTGCAGGTTGCAAATGAAAATTTCCAATTAAATTAAATTTACATACAGCCATTTGGTTGAAATAATTTTTTTTTATTAAAACGAATGGCCAATTTCATTGCAACGGACATAAAAGAAAATAACATTCAAGCGCTTTTATTTCGCTAGTCATGATTTTCGATTGGTTGGGCAATTTTTACTGCCAGCAGCAGCAGTAGCAGTAGCCAGTTAGTCGAAACAAATAATGCCATGGTTTCTTTGGCTGGCTGGCTATTCACAGACGATACACGACCACCATTCAAATTGCACGGATTAAGAAATTCAAACTCAAATACACTTCCTCGATGTTGGCTTATGTTTGGAAAACCTTCAAAACCCGACACTGTCCCGAATAAATAAATAAACCGAAAAATATTTGTGGTCAGCACAAAAAAAAACTGTGTGTATAAGAAATGAATGAGCAATCAAATGTCTTACACAGAAATGCCCGCACGGCGAAATGGCCAATAAGCGCATATACATATGTTGCATTAGTCGCATGGCTCTCTTTTTTTTCGCTTTTTACTTTTCGTATTTTATTGCACATATCAAAGCACAACACACACTTGTCGTTCCGTTGCATTCTAAGAAACCTTTTTCTTTCGACTCGTATCGAGCTGAGAACGCAGAAATATCGGTTTTCTCATAATTTTCATTGATTTTTCAACTTGACGAACGTGATCCGAACAAAAGGCATTTTTAACTAACTGTACGATTGGCACTTTTTCCCCTGTCGTTCTTTCTGTTTTCTCTCTGTCGGTTACCATTCATCTTTCTCGCTCTCAATGAATGAACGACAGAAAAAGCCTAAGCGGAAAAGGGATTTCTACGTCGTCATTTCGATCCATTGTACGTAGAAAACCAAATTGATCGTTTTTTTTTCATAACTGAAGACAATGAACGCTATTCGCAATGGGCATTTTTTTTTCTAAATTCATGTGTGGGCTGATATAAAGCTGAAAATTTATCGAAGAATTCCGATGAAAACGTCGAGGTTGATGGTATTTTGTTACGTACGTGTTTGTATATCAGTTTGAGTTGATGCGATACAATTCATCAATATGTTGAACGATTTTAAAAAGGTGAACGGTAGGAATAAGTCATTTAATCGCATTGAAATTGATTGAAGGCATACGTATCTCTTGAGTCATGAATATGGAGAGAGAGAAGGAAAAAAAACAAAAGCCATAACAACAACAACAACAGGCGAAATACAAACAAGCCAAAAAAAAAGTTATGGCCCGAAAACAAACATGACAGCAAGATTTTTCGAATCAGTTTTGACTGTGAGTTGAGAATGTTCACCCGATTCAATGTGGCGGCAACAATAAAAACAGTGCTTTGTTATAATGAAGTGATCTGTTCATTCATATTCGCGTACACGTAGACAGACACAGTTATAACGAAAGAGACGGTCGTTTGGTGAGCGCGACCGATCGCGCGTTCACCGCTTCAATTAGCCTCTCTGTCGATTGCTAAATCTCGCATTTATTGTGTTAAAAAACCGACCTACGATCGATACATTGCCTGAGAAGAAGCATGATCGGCTCAATTTAGACATTTGTATCGATTGGAAATTGCCAATTTTATGGATGTTTATCGACAAATTGATTTCGAGTTTTGCTTGTTTCATTGCCTTCAATCGGTTTATTTACACAAATGGCGTCAAAGGCACCGAGTGCGTATGTGGAATTTTTGTGTGCGAGAATAAATGTTTAGACTATTTTAGGCTATGTATGCCTATTTGGTGCACTCAAGGTCACGTGAGGAATGTGAACGCGCACATTTGCACACACGGCGGCGGCAGTGGCATATGTAAATATTTTCTTGTTCGTCCATTTAAATTGTTTTGTATGCAAACGATTTCAATCTGCATACTAAACCGAAAAGAAACTGTTGCAACGAATTGTGCTCAACGCTTGAAAATTGCATCATTTTGCAATGTTCTTAGCGCAAAGAATGTCGATGCAACAAACAAACAAAACAGAAAGAAAAACCTGATGCTGCTGCCGCTGTTGCAACTACAAGACTACGAAATGTGGCAACGAGACGCACTTGCAATGAACGAATAATGCACACCATAAAATGGCCCGAAACACTTGCGGAATACAACAAATCGAACAAATAACCAGTCGAAATAGAATAAAATCTCGAAAAACTGCGCTTTTTCTCACTTTACTTACTGAAACAAACGGGATGCAAAATATGGCATGTGTGGCAAAGAAAATTTCGTTGGAAGAGAGAAGAAAAAATAAAGAGTTTGAAAAGCTGTTGAAAAGTGGCTGCCACGCAACAGCATGTGAGGTGCGTTTTTGACGTGCACAAATGTGCAAATTACAACTAACACGGAATTATTATAATTCTCCGAATCGCGAAAATCATTTTCGTCAGCCGTTTTCAATGCATGAGTTTAGCAGCTGGCGCGCGCGCGCGAACGCGACAATAATATGTATTATTTACATTCCCATGGCACAGTATGTGAAATGATATTTGCAAGCGAACACACATACCGACACAGCCAGTGAAAAATGTCACTTGACAAGTCTTGGCCAAATATGTTCACCGCGCACAACACACCGCCGACCGCAAAGTGGGTTATTTAAATATGCATATCATTTTTATTTATGGCCATAAAACAATATTCGTTTTTTTTATCGGTAGTGTCGAAAAAATGTGTACGGAAAACGAGATCAATAATCATTTTTTGTTTGTGTGTTCGAACGTAGACAAAAATCAATTTGACAATCGTTTCGTTTGAGAAATGGCGAGCAGAGAAAGAATGCAATCGGCTGGCAGCATAAGTCGAAAACATGTGGGCTCAAAAACAAGCCCATGCATTTGGAATGGCTTTGACAAAGGCAGCATATTTTTCTCTATTGTCACTGGCTTTTATTGTTATGGAAAGCATTATTTGGTTGTGAATTTCTTGCCGATGGAATTGTGAAATGAATTATACTGTTACTTGCTTTCCGTCGTCGTCGTTGCCATTGTTGTTGTCTAAATGTCGCCCGTTGGACCCAATAGCCACTGGAAAACGGCTAGAGAAAGAGTACATACACAAACATTTACCGTTTCTACCTGATGGCATTTCGGAGACGCATGGACAAACAATGGATCAAATTTAAATAGAATCACGTACACGAGAACCTCTAATTTTCTGTCAATTGAATATGTCGTTGTCGTCGTCGTCGCTTTCTTTCTTTTCATTCTATCATTCGCCCATTTCAACATCATTTACGCACGTCGCAAACATGACGTCTATTTTTACACATCCAGCATTTTATATTTGCTTCGGAGAAACGAACAAATTGAAAATATATCTATCGTACGTCATTATTCATTAATTTTCATGCAATTACTGGGTTTCGGGTGGATAGAAAAAAATATGATGGCGGATGACATAAGGCAATAAACAAAAGAGACACAGACACAATTGGGCCATTTGACTTCGATGCATTAGGCATGATTAAACATATTGGCCATTTGTTATGGCTCACTAATTATTATTCCGTAAAGCATAATAGTGAAAAAAACGCGCCGCGCAACTACGATTTGAACTATTTAAATCATTCCAATCGTTTACATTTTGATTTTGCATTGTATGACTTTGGATGCGTTTTGTTTTATTTCAAAAAAAAAATTCGTTGAAACTTTCTCCGATTGATTTGAACTGTTGAATGGGTTTTTCGATTGAAAAAAAAAAAAAAATCGATCGATCCGATGTGTTGTTTGATATACGCATAAATAAAATAAAATGAAATACCAAAACGAAAACATGCCTCATCCATTCGTAATTTTCTCGTGCATTATACAATTGAAGCGGTGGGTAATCCGTGAACCAATGTTGATATAAAGAGCAATTAAATAAATATTGCACAAAACGTACCGTTCAAAACTGAACATAATAATGTCAAAAAGATGGATACAAAATAATTATCTGTGTGCACAACGAAACGAGCTAACGTTGAACATCAAACGAAAAACACGGAAACATTTATTAGGAATAATTAGGTAATGGTTTCGTTTGTGTTGAATTCTTTCTACTTTAGGTAATTGTTAATGGCGAGTTATATCATATTGAAATGCAAACAAATATTTTTTTGATCCAAACTGTCTCTATTGAACATGAATTTTATTTTTGTTTGCGATCACACGCTGTGCTTCCATTAAGATAACAGAGCATTTCATCGAGGTTTTTCTCATTCGCTGAGACATTTGTCGCCCATGCTGAAGATCGGAGCTGTAAGTCACATGGTAGATCCGATAAATCAGCCATATCAAGCTTATGAAATGCAGTTCGAAACCGAATTCGATGAAAATGAGAGAAAATCGAACGAGTTCGACTAAAAATGGGCAGTGAAAGTTTGAGTGAACGTGAGAGAGAGATATACGTATAATTTGGAAATGAAATGCGCATTTAATATTCCCATTTCGATTGAATTAACGAGTAGAATACAAAAGCAAACCGCATAGATATCTTTGGTGTATTGTGTCTCTCTCACCTGAAACACAAACAAAAAATTGAATGAAGCCCAAATGATAATACACACCGATGATAATGAGATGCGTATGCTTGTGTGTATGCACTGTGGAATGTCGTTCGGCATATGCTTCTATGCTCCAAAATTATGTTGCCACGCCAAGAAAAGCCACCAATGAACCGGGCAACAACAACGATAACGACAACGACGACATCGGCGAAGAAACATGCAAGAAATAATGAAGAGAAAAGACAAACGATAAAATAAAAACAAGCTCAACCGCTTCGAAATGGGCGACGTGTCCAATATATACAGCACGAACCGCTTTACATACGTAGCTTATGCGTTTAGCATTTCTTGAATATTACTGTGTATCGCTCTTGCTGCACATCGACGAAAATATAATCACGACAGTCCGAAAAAAAAGGAAAAGTAACATAACGGTCAATACACCAAATATATCGATATAAACATACGACGCTGTTTTTTTTCTTTCTTCGGGTGGCTGGGAAAGTACTATTCATACTTCATCGGATGCCAATTTCTTGGAGCTGCGCGCATTTATTGAAAGAGAAAAGCTGCAAACCGTTCAATGTTTAGCTTTTGTTTTCATTTTTTTTTAATCAGACATCTTATGCGCACACCACAGCATACCACACCACATATAGAAACTGACTAGTCTTGCGCCCAAAACTAATCGAACGAAAATAGAGGGAAAAAAATATAGAAATATTTTGCTTGCTATGTGATTATGCGGTGTGCGCCTTTTGCGTGAGAGAGACCCGATTTGATTTTGATAAAGACGATGAAAAATATAGCACATTCAATGAATAAATTCATTGCGATCGAGAGATATCAGCTCATATTGTATTGCACAAACATCAACAAAACGAGAAAAACACTGTAAATGCAGTATACAAATATTTTGGCATGAAATGTAATTTGAGCAATACGAAAGAAAGAATACACACACACACACAGTACAGAATGGAAAATAAAGCGAAAAAAAAAATAGCGATCGCTTTTCAAAGCGAATCAACGGAAAAAAATCAGATGAAGCACAAAAGAAGAAAGAAACAACCCGCTCCAGCACACATCCAATGCGGTGTATAATTAACGAATTTAATAAATGAAAGTGGTTTTGAAGCGCACCGTTTCAATGTGACTCTCTCGCAATGCGCGCTTTTTCTTCTGCACAAAAGTCAAATGTGTCGGCTGATTGCAATTTAGTTTGTGTTTGTTCATATTTTTTTTTCCTCAGAGCAGAATGTTCGATGCAAACACAGGCAAGAGAGAGAGAGAGAGAGAGAGAGAGAGAATTGATTTTTAAACGGTTTTTGGTCGTTGACCATTGAAACGCATTCATAGTGGGAGGTAAAGTGAACTCAGGAAGAGCAATGTTTGTTTTGTGTCCAATCTTCTTCGTTTATAAACCATGACCATAAATCACGATAAAATTGAGATTTATCGACTTTCGATTGTGCAAGCACAACATGAAAAAAAAAACAATTCATTGTGTTCATGTGATTTTCTTTGAAGATTCGACCTGCCAACCGAGATTATCAAAGAACATCCGGACCGTTTGCGAAGCCAACATTAACCGGACGAACCACTTTTTTGCTCTCTGTCTCACGCTCTTTTGAATCACAAATTGTGATGAATGACTCGAACATTTTCGAAACGAAAGCCTTTTGAATTCCATTTGATTTTTGTGCAGAAAAAAAGTCATCTTCGATGGCTTTTACTGATGTTAAAAATCAAACAGAAGATCCCATATCGCAAACAATTACTCATGTCATGTAATTTAATTCACATCTTTTTTTCTGTGGCTTGCATTGCTTCGCTTTTCACAATTCACCCAAACATTCAAGGTATAATATTTTCGCAAAGAATTAACAGGCAGCATTGCTGATCAGTGATCACCCACCGAATGTGTGTGTATGTAATCGACTAAAATTAAAATTCAACACGTAATCCAAGCTGATGCTATTCGAATCACGCCTTAAATGTATATCGATAACTCTTCATCGCATTCGACTTGTTTTCAATAGTGTCACCAGCGGTGACGGTGATGACGATGATGATTTACAATTTGCATACATGGATTCGCGCAAGAAAGTATTAAAATAAAATGTGACTTGATCGACTCAAAACAACAGGCAATGATGTAATTGTGCCTGGTGTACCAACTGTTTTGTGTGCTGAAAACGAAACGATGATGTTCGATTAGCGTTTTAATCGCTTGCAATCGGTTGGTAATTTATTTGTTGCCTAACGACCCGAGAGCATTCTTCAATTATAGGAGAAGAGGAATAGCAACAAAAATAAATGACTTATAACTCTCGGGCTGATTTTTCGATTGTGATTGCGAATCGCGAAGATGAAATTGAAACTCGCCTGCACAAAAGAGTAAACATGGGAAAATGAATACATTCGGTTGAACTCTGGCCAATTTTTAAATTGGCCGCGGCCGTAGCTGCAATCAACGGATTTTTAGCAATCATCAATTGAACAATAAATCAATTTATTTGATTCAGCTTGTTCGCATTGATGGAATGAGTTTAATTTCAAATTATATCTCATTAAATTCTAATAACTAACCGTCACTCTGTTGTGACAAACAAAGAGAAACCATTTTTTTTTCTTCGTCGTTTCTTTTCAGTGCCACGTTTTTCTTTGTTGGTGCGGAATAAAAGAAAAAGTTTGTTCGTATTTTGACACACTCTCCGGCACGCTTGATTTCAATGGCTAATTACGATTAAATTGTGTCTCTTCAAATGTTGAACCATAACATGTTTCATAATTGATATTTATTTCTCCGCGTGCAATAGAAACAAGCAGAGTGATGGAAGAGAGAAAAAAAAGTTGTGTCCAAACAGACACAAACTCTAAGCTTTTTTATTGTTACCAGTTTTTTATTTTCGTTTTTTCCTACGAATTTCAGCTACTTACTACTACTTATTTTATTTTCAAATCAGTTTCTTGCCCTTTTGTGTCGCGAGCTCGCGTACTGTTTCAAATTATTTTTACTTTCATTTTTACGATCGTTGATTATCGGGTTCGTCACCTGCAAGTTGTTTGTACTCACGTGCATTGTACACGGGCAATTACGTCGAAATGACAATATAATGTGTAGAGAGCGAGAAAGAAAAGTGGTGCGCACAGGCTACTGAAACGGTACAGTCGAGGTGTTTGATGACTGACTTCGTAATTGGCTTCTAATAATTCATATTTTTTTTAATTATTATTTATGCTGTGGGTTTGGCCGTGATTACGTCGTTGTCGCCACCACAGCAAACCATTTCACTGCATGTTCCATTACGTTTACGACGCATTCGATTCCAATTTCGTAAATGTATCTCAATTTAATGTTATTTGTCAATTTGTTCGTATTTTCAGAATTATGCGGCCAAACACCCGGACTCTCAAGCATTGTTGGATAGTGTAAACAACAAATACTATTACTACACTCGGACCCGTGGTTTGTTTAGAATCTGCTATCCAAAGGAGAGACCACCAGCGTCGGCCGGTAAGTATTCAGCTTAGCTCGTTGCCAAAACACCGATTCCATGGGATGTCTCTTATCTCCTACCTCGATCGTTATACACACAATACTCAAACAATAATACCTTGGTCACTCCAACGGTGCTCTGAGTCGTAACCTTTCGCATGGAACGAATAATACCACAAAACACCTTATCTAATCCCATCATAATGAGTCCATTATATTTCAATAAAAACAATTGCCGGAAAAAAAAAGCACGAAAATTGAAACTAATTGAAGTAATTACCGCCAAAAATAAAATTTCGCCTATACACCAAATTATGGACACTTGGAACCGTAAAATACGTGTTAACTTTTATCTCTCGCACTCGCAAATAGATTCTCAAGTCAATAAAATACAAATGAGCCGAGAATCTAACGTCTTTGAAATGCTGCGAAAGACAAAGAAAGAAACATAAACTGCAGGCTAATGCTATTCAGTCCGATTTAGAAGAAGAAGAAGAAGAGAGACATTCTCACACAATTCATATCATAAAGAGATAAATAAACAAGGCAGATGTCGTTCATCTGTGATACGTATCGAGGTGTGGTGAGAGTGTGAGTAAACTGGCTGTGCCACTTAACGTAGATTTACGATTGACAACATTAGCGCGAATTCCTTCATTAAACAACAATGCAATCGTATAATTTGGTCTTAACGATGTTTCTAAATCGCAGAAAAGCAGAAAATCCATCATAAACTATACCTAATTAAGTAGAATGAAAAAAAGAAGAAGAAAACACTCATGAGTGAACGAGTCAGAGTCAGCAGAAAAACGCACCGAGTAAGAGAACGAGCTACGAATCTCTCTCTCTCTGTGTGTGTGATAAGAAAGAAGTGAAATTTGGTTGAAGAAAAGCAAAACAAAATGAGGAATCCGCTTTCTCGCGCGTGAGCTTATGAGCCTAGATTATAAACAATCCAATTATCGCTACGGTACCAACACAACGAGCCGTACCGAAAGCGATAGCAAAATGTAATCATCAGCCATGCTGACTCTTTCGAACAAACACTTACTCAGAATCGAATTTTTCAAACGCTAGAAATTCTTTCAACGAAAACGTACGTGAGTTACTCATAAAATCCCTCCCCTCCATGCCATTGAAACTACACAGATTCATGTGTGCAATTTATTTTCGGTTCTCACTCGTGCTAACGCAAAACAAATCTCAATTTAATGAAAAAGAAATGTAGAAAAACCAGAAAAAAATGCCGTCGACGCAGAGTGGTTAAAGGTTGTGTTGATTAACGTGCTAGCCAAGTGAAAACAGTTTGAGAGAGAGAGAGAGAGAGAGAGAGAGAGAGAGACTAATTGAGACATTTCATTTGGAGGAAAGGAGCATTTTTGAATTAGTGTGCGACTTTCGGTGTAATACTCGTTAGGAAAAAGTTTTTTTTTTTATTAATCTATTGTTGTTGTTTGTGTTTTTCTGTTTGGTTGGCGTTTTTATGTGCTGTCGACCGTTTATTGCAACAACCATTCCATTGAAATATGTCGGTGCATTCATCATTTCGTGCAGTTGAAATTTATTTGTCGCCCGTTGAGACGCATTGTTCAAACGTTGATTACTTCCCCGACTTGGATGACGAAAAAACATTGCAGCCAAACGATGATGCCATCACTCGTCTTCATCTTGCACGTTCCTGCGTCGCTCTATTCATTTTGAGGTGAGTTAACATTGCACATAGACAATGTGCACGGATTGGTGTGCAATTTTAGCGTGTGTGGCAGGCGGCACACAACGAGCCAACACATTGAACAATGGCCGATGCACACAGTGCGATCGCTTGAGTGTTTCACGCAGTCATGCTTGAGTGATTCTGTATGTGTTGGTTAAGAAAAGATCTTTCATCGTGTCGCGCGCACGCTCGTGCTCACTCTCTGCCACATACAATTCGTCGAAGTAGTGGCGCGCGCATATTCAGCATTAAGAATATACGCTTTGGCTTGATGAGTACAGAAACAATTGGCTTCTTAATACGTAACTGGTTCAATTTCATTTGCGGCCTTAAGAAGCGTAACGAATTGCGAATACATACTATATAAAATCTCGCGCGCTCTGACACCAATTCGCCTTAACAAGTACACATGAACACGCATGAATCACAGTCGTGAATTAAATGAAATAGTTTTTGTATTGAGACGAGAGCTTTTTCACTCATTTTCGCCAGATTCATACGTGTACATGAATAATTTTTGTGTGTCACAACGACAATATGCCTTGCATATCGCATATATATCGCTGATGTGCATTTGTTTTCTATTTTGCACGCTTCTTTACATTTCTATACGTTCTTAATTTGTGTTCTTATTACAATTTCTGTAAAGAGAGATCAATTTGTGTGCGAGCGTTGATTTTCTTGATTATTTAAATAATGCTGAACGAAATAAAATTTCATATGTGAATTTCTCTTGTATTTTTATTTCTTTTTCATCTGTAGTTTTGTATCGGTGTTCTGTGCCTTCTGGACTGGTTTATCGGGATGTTGGCGTCGATCGGCTGGAGCCATCACAGCTACTGCAATTTTGATGTTGTTGACATGCTTATTGGCTGCTGGTGCGATGGGATTGTGGCATACCGTTGAATTCTTCGAAAAGGAAAAGGTCGTCGGCGAGGAGTTCTACCAACAATGGACAAATGTTTTGCGTGACAACACACGTATCTCCTACGATTGGTCGTATGTTTTGGCTTGGGCTGGCGTTGCATCCAGCTTAATTGCTGCCATTCTCTTGTCTGGTGCTGCTGTCTGCTTGCGCAGCGAACGTGAAAAGGAAGAGCAATTGAACTTGCAGTATTTGATGCCAGGTAATTGTCACTCTCACCTCGTTAATTTGCCAAAGAAAGAAAAAGATTGATCGATTCATTTACACACGCGTTCCACGACGCGACGCAACGCGTCGCTCATCATAAGCCCAATTACGAGGGTTTTCATTTAAGATTGAGCAATTACGCAATTCCAAATTCGTCAAAATTAAAGCCCGGAGTAATTATTATTTGGCTAAATTACCACCGTCTATGACACCACGCATTTTTTTCTTTTTTTACTTTGTCTACCTTTCCGCCTATCTTTCTCTCGATCGAGCATTCACAATGAGCTTGTAAAAACCTAGAAAAAAAACACATCAAATAAAGAAGCGGATGATTTAAACAAAAATCACAGTGCAAAACCGAAAAAACGAGAGCATCTTACATAAATTTGGGTCATGCTTTAACTTGATTCTCTGGAGGAAAACGAAAACAAACGCGCAAGCACTGTGTACAAATTGAATGAGAAAAAGAAGTCGAGAGAGAGAGAGAGAGGGAAATAAAAACACATCGAGTTTAAATTAAATGGCTTTTCTTTTTCGGCGGTTTGATCGCACATCGCGTTGCGCTTCAAAGATTCTTCTCCATGGCTAATGATGTTTTCGGTTTTGCACATTTCGCGTTGTTGTCATTTTGTGGTCTTCCGCAACTCACACACACACACACAGCGATAATGAAATTGTACCTCGAAATAAAAACAAAACGAAGTAAAATCGAACAAACGATGGAAATTCTGGCCATTTGAAATGAGAGAAAAAAAAAGAAACATTTTCCACTCCGATGGTCACTACGTGATCAGTTTTTCGTTATTTGTTTTTCGAATGTGGAAATTGGATTTCGATTCATTGTGCATTGCACAAATCGTGTAATTTTCATAGTGATAGGCTGAATCCAAGGCAATCTGTTTGCAAACATTTTTTATTCATTTATTTATTTATTCAAACGTTTTTCGCTAATTTCTCGTTTAATTTTTTGCTTCACAGTTTATCCACAAAAGCAACCACCATACGCTTACGGCGGCTACCCACAGATGTATCCAGTTCACCCATACCATGGTTCTCAGTATGGTCCGTACAATTACTAAGCGATTGAAAGAGACAGAGACAACCGAATGATTCCGGCGGATTCAAAGATAGGTCAAACAACGTGGACGACATTGACTCCAACGAATCACACAAAACATTGACAGAAGACATCGGATAATAAATAGGAGAACGACGATACACAACTCGACGAAGCAAATTTACTCATCATTTTTAGCCACTTGCGAAAAATATTTGTGAAGACGAATTCATTTTAAACGCGCATATATTTTATTCGACGATTATATATTTTTTTAGACCAAGGATATGTTTATCCGATCGAGAAATAGACGACGATAACGATGACGGTGACAAATACAATGATATATAATTTTTTTTTTCAGATTTAGGACGATATAAATGGATTTAATAGCGAGTACATTTAAATATACATTTATGCATCAAATCGAGAGACAAAAACAATAAACAATACGAAATTTCAGAGATAGTTTCATCCTGCGCGTGCTATATGTAAGGCAAAGTAAGAAACAATAATTTAGACTTATGAAATAGTAAAAAAAAAAAGCAGTAACATTGAACGAGAGAGAAAAAGAACAATATTTGTCATACTATGGTTTAATTAAAATTGTACTTACTTTAGATTATCTTTGATCGAAAAGTCAGTAAACACATAGATTTATATTTATTATCATGTAAAAGAGCTCCATTTGAAATAAAGAAATTAAAATCCAATTCCGAACGGTTTTTGTTTTGTTGTGCAAAACGGAGAAGATAAAACAAATGGTTCATTTCTATGAGTGTCTAGAATGGCGGATGATAAGAACATGGAGTGTTGAGAATGGCGTCAGTTAGCAGTGGAAAATTTGTTCAATTAGCACCCAAAGCAGAATGCTTCATTTGGCATAAAACGAAACACTATGAGAATTAGTTTGATAACGAATGACATCGTTTCTTCACTATTGATAACAAATCACCGCTTGTTGCCTTTATCATCATTGAAGATTTTGCCAACACTTTTAATCGTGCTCAAGACATCGGATCGCTATTTTCCTTTATTGTTGTGCAAATCGTATGCATGAGACGACTCTCTTTTTGCCCCATTAAATAATTATTAATAAAAATCACCAATCTATTTTATAGCGAACCAATATCTGAAAATCTCTTATATAATTCCAAAGAGCATGTTTTCACACGTTATCTTATGCTACTTTCGCGATAATGGTAACGCATAACGGATCGGTAACTTCAACTCTGCTAAAGACATCAATCGCTTATCGCTGATCAAATCAGTAACATGCAAGTCACGTGTGAAAGACTACTTTCCTTTTATGCGAATCAAATCGCTCGAATTACGTATATTCCAAAAATATGCGGAAATTTCACTAAATAAAAGCCTAACCTCCTCTAAAATAATTCAATACTCGCAAAATATTCTCCATTGACTAAAATTCGAAAGATGGCTTTTCATTGACTGGAAAAAAATCATGTCATTGCTATTATGAAATTAATTGTACAATTATTTTCAAGAAAATTAAATTGTAATTAAAGAAATAAGGTAAGATGATCTCAATCAGCATGATGTGGCAGCAAGGTGAAAATTTTTACAATTACAATTCAATATGGAATGGGTTTTTTCAATGTATTATTTTGAATTTTATTTGACTACATTTCCGAAAATCATGTTTGTTTTCTCGATTTCAAGACTTGGAACAAAGAACTTGAAATTTCAAGTTTTTTTTGCTTTTTCACGAATTCACTGTAAATAAATTGTTATGGAAGTAAGCCCGATCGGGCTTAGTGTCTTCACTCGAGTGTAGTGTCTTCAGAAAATACTTTCTTTTTTGCTTAAAAAGTCTGGTGAATCTAATGAAAGATGTTGTAAAACCATCATCGATTGATTTTTTGATGATACTTGCCTTTGCTCCGAAGATTTGCCTGCATTTAGAAGGAGATAAGTTTGTTTTTGGGTATCAACAATCCAGAGAAAACCAGGAAGAAACCGATAAATTAGATAAAGTGCAAGTCAGCAATGAATCTTAATCAGAAATAGAAAGCATAAACCGAGAAAAGTTGACTAATTGCTAGAAAAGTAGTCAGCACTCATAACCGCAAACAATTTTCTCTCCAAAGCCACAACTTTTCTATTCATTTCTGAGGAACCAATTACCACGTTTCAACGTCACTTCCAATGCTGTTCGTCATGATATTCACTATAACATTCCAAGTGCTTACCATAAAATTCAATGAACTGCCGCTTCAGTTCGATAAAATCTGCCGATTTCGATATGAAAACCCGCTGTAGCTACAGAACAATTGGCTATAAAACACAATTCCGAAGACACATTGTTAGCTTATCTGATAAGATCGTATTGAAAAGGTCAAGACCGTAATAACATTTTGCATCATAACTCATAATTTCAATGAAAATTCTAACGTAAAATCCTACACGTGGTAAACAACAAGTCAATTCAATTGATTTTCTTTTAGATAACAAAGTGAATCACGAAACGCCGAACAAAACTCACATGTTGAGGTTATGGCTATTGCTGTGTGACAATAAACACGATAAGCACCAATGTTTCTCCGGAAATGTGTGTTTGAAAGAAGATTCGAAAAAATGCACAAAAAACGCAATGATTTCACTGTTTTTCCATCAAAATGGTGAATAACTTTTATTCAAAGCACGATTCCATTTACAATAGCTCGTGAAATGTACTTCGACTGGGTGCAAACGATGACATATTGCGGCCAATGATTTTTGTTGTTGTTGTTAATTGATGAAAAACATTTTTCCTTTGTTGTCTTAGAAAACAATCTGAAATTAAATGAAATGCAAACGAAATTAGCATATTTGAATCGATTTTCAATTGAACGGCAGTCAAATTTGGGCTACTTACAATTTTGTAGACCGTGTGTGTGTGGCAATCTATCGAAGACGTCTGGCTTCACGTTCAGATTCCAACAAGGTGAGAATATCGCCTTCACGGACTGGGCCCTTGACGTTGCGGATAATTTGACGATTTTGTTCTCCGATGAATTCAACTTTCACCTGTGTACATTGTCCTTGGGATCCTGTACGACCCAAAACTTTGATGACACGAGCCAAAACAACTGGTTTATCCATTTTATTTGAGTAGAATTTGGGATTTTTCTAGCAAGCGAAAAAATTTCACGTGTCCGTACTGTCAGACTGCGCAAACGGAAAAGAGAGAAGTTTGGTTAAGATGCCATTGATTTATGTTTCAACGAATGCGGCGCCACCGACCAATTGTCTGTTGTCAAAATGAACCATTTGACAAAATGCGTCAAACCAGAAGCATTTCAAGCGAAGTGTTCATCGCGTTCATCCGTGCGTGCTATGCATTGGTGGTGTCATCTCTCGATGTTTTTGCTGTGAAGTGTCGATGAACCATTTCGATTGCAAAGTGTCAAATTCATTTATTCAGTCGCATGTCATAATAAACAAACGTGCGATGCTAAATTTTTACGCTGATTATTGATTTGTTTTTGGGATATTTACTACTTTAAATCATGACAGACATTTTAATTGGAGGCGATGTGAAGAAACTGGAGACAAATTGCAACAAGAAATTGAGCGGATTCGTTGGTAAACTCAATCAATATTCAAATACGATGAAGAAACATTCGGCGGAGCTAAAATTAATCGCAGCCGATTTGGTGGTGAGGTCACAACAATTGCAAAAACTGGAAAATATCAAGTGAGTTTCAACTGTTCCAGAATTTTTCCTCATCTTTTTTTGAGTCAAATTTTCTAATGAAATTTCCAAAATTCGAATTTCAGGCCAGAGAATTTAAAGTGTTACTCAGTGGACCAACGAGATAGAGTGCTATCGGAAATTTTGTGCCAAGCCAATGTTCAAGTCATTACGGCGAATAGATTGATGTGAATAATTCATCTCTTTTTCTTATCCGTTGTCTTTTCATTGTTGGAAAATATACTAATGTGGCCCATTATTTTAATTTCAGTACGGAGCTCGAGGATTTCCACAGAGAACTAAAAGCCGAATACCGAAATCTCTCCGCTTTGGCCAATGTTCTACAAATCACCACAGCCGAAAGTTTTCTTTTAGTTGGCGATTGCAGACAAAAGCCAATCACCTACTATCTTGAAAATGCTTGTCAAGTGCTGCATATCTGGATGCTATACCAACGATCATTGCACATTTTGCTCAATCGAATTGACATGAGAAACGATGATTCAATCAGGCAATTCGAGACAATGACGCCAATACCACAGCACCTATCAGCTAATCTTGATCGATATTTGCTATTTTCAACATTTTTACTCGCACAAAAGTGAGAATAGAACGATATTTATTACAATTGTGATAATTTTTTACACGACAAACAACAAAACCGACAAAAATAAACCATAAAGAAAACAAAACCGTCTGATTTTGTATTCATGTATTCATTTTAAAAACGGATGACAATAGCACATGTGATTTTTTTAAAAAAAGAATTGACTTGATTGCGTGTCAATGCTCATGACCCGACTAACCTAAATTTCCCATTCACATTTACATTCCGAAGCGATTGTAAGTGGAAAGAAAATACAGGCGAACATGGATGAATACACGCCAATTTACTCGATAAAATGTGATACACCACTTAACGAATGCATCAAGCGCCAGTCAAAGAAATAGGTCTAAAATTGTCATACACACATCCAGTAGAGATAGCGAGAGAGCTTGCGAGTGAACGAGAGACTGTTAAGTGAGAGTCAAGATGTGTTCGTTATATCGTACCGAATGAAAAAAAAACACATTTGTTAAGTAGCATCCACAGGCAATGGGGTTTTGTGCGCAAATGCACGCAATGTCAACTTATCAATGAATTCATTCTCTCGCCACTTTTTTCCCTCTGATTACTGTGCTACACACTGATGTTGGATATTGATTTCAGATTGCTGAAAAGACGAAATCACACACAGCGCGCTCATATTCATTTTTTCTGTTCTCGAATCGTGTGACATTCCACTTTCATTTTTGGCATCGAATTATTTTTCGTTTATTTTATTCTCGGTTGGATTTCGGTTTATTGGCGAGTTTACCCAGAATAATACGATGCCATTTTCCAGTTGTGATGTGATTTAAATGAGCGAAAGGATGATTCCACAGTTCATCATCTTCAATGGTAATTAGTGTCATTAATGGTAGAGAAAAATAGAATTTTTTGTTGTGCACGGAAGTGATTTTACTATCATTTTTAGCCTTTGTGTCGTCGTAATTTTCGCTGAGATGAAAATTATCCCATTTTATTTAAGTGAGCGATGGATATGGAAATATTGTTTTGAAAAGTGTTTAGACGTTGTTTTTTTTTTCTCCTGTCGAGTCAAGTGTGGTGTAAACATGGAGAATTACTTGTTCAATTCGACGAAAGACTCTGCATAAATTTCCATGGAATGTTCGTCAAGTATGATGAAAATGGATTTATGATGCGGAAAAAATAAATTACATTCAAAAATATGCAGAGCCAAGATGGATATGCAAATTGTGTAATGTGATACGCACACTTAGCATTCATGCTCACGTTCCGTTGTGCTATTTGCCATTTTCGAGAGAATCACCTGTGAATTGACTTAGGGCTATTTATTTAAGTGTATCAACTCGGTTCATCCGACCATCACTGTTTGTTGAGCGATGCTGATTTTTCATCCCACGCAAACAATTCACCCTTTACTAGACCATTCTTTTTTTCAACAGTGTACTATATTTGTTTATTTTGTTCCTTCTTTCAGATCCAACCATTTTCATTCGTCAAAATAAGCAGAATGTACATGCATTTTTTGTTCTACTTAGAATAATCGTTATGGATTATTTGTGGTTTGAAAATGAGCCAAATCACTTATCAAATGTTTTACACGACACAATTTTGCGAAATTATTTTGTTGTTGTTGGACTAGTGGTTGAAATAGATTTGAGTTGTCAAGCATGATGTCATTTAGTGTGTAATTTGTGATTATCACATAGTGATTCAAGAAAAAAGAGACAAAATAGGTGAATGACTTGTGATGGCATGTTTTGATCAATTTTAATCTATTTAGATGAATGTCTCAAGTATTTTTTTGTTGATGATTTTTCTTGACCACTCAAACTACTTTGTATTATTTGATTAGCACTTAAAAAGTCTCGTAAATTCTGAATTATAATTTGAAATTCCGAACATGGTATTTAATTGAAATGCATGCCACAATGTATTGATTCGATAATTATGCACGCTGAAATTGTGGATTACTTGCAATAAACCAAATGCTCTATGTTCTTTTCTCTTTCTTTCATGGTTTTCCTTTTCTTTCTTTCTCTCTCTCTTCTCTGTGACAATCTCAACTGCACAAAAATGTTTTCCCACAAAAACGCACACACACACACACACACACACACACACACGTCACAAATGCACAGTCTAGAAATGTATCGAATGTAAGCCATGCAGCAATCAAATTTATACAATTAAACGCACAAACACACACGCATCAGAAAACGCACAGATCAGCTGGTTAGCAACTGTTGTGGTTGTAGGAGTCAAAGGTCGTCACACCGCGTGCACTGTTTTTTCCCCCAAAAGAATCGAAGTAAGACACACACGGCATTGAATATTCAAATCAATTGTGTATTTTGCACTGGTATCCCGCGAAAAACCACACAAAAATGAAGCGTTCTGTTTAGCATATATCAATGAACGTATTCGAGTGTTTCACGCTGGAATTCATCGACACCGCAATCACATTCAATTATTCCAAAATCTAAATTCAGCACGAATCGCTCAATTTCGAAACGATACGAAAATAAACGTATACAAAGCAAAAGCAAGCAAAGAAGCACACATACCCATAGCACAAAACGCACTGCTCACTTTAAGAAAAATCAATCATGGCAAATACGGCACAATTATTTCGTAGACAAAGCTCGAGAGATTTAAACTCGTACAAACAGCGCAGCATAGATAATTTAGAATTGAAGGTAAACCAATAAACATAAACACATTTTATGTCGCACTAAATCGTAAATTGTGATGACATTTTGGCCATTTGCGATAAGTTTGCATGGCATTCATTGTACGTATATTTGAAATACGTTGTGTGTGCATTTTGCAGGAGATGCGTGGACGTTTGGTGAGACCCGAGCATTACAATCAATCTCTTTATGGCGCTACAAATCCGGCATTCTTCTCCGAAGATGCTGAAGACGAAAAAGAGAACGATCTATTCCCGAATATACCGAAAACGTTGCCCTGCCAAACGGACGACGAAATCGTGCAAGGAGATAAACCGGAGGATGAACGCGAGAGTTGGGACAGCAAAATAATGTTCCTATTAGCAACCATTGGGTAAGTACAAATTTGATAAAGCAATTAAACCAATTTTTATGACTTTATTTCCAAATCGATTGGATTTTATGAGTTAATTCCAAAATTGATTTTAATTACGTTTCTATTTCTGGTTCGATAGGTATGCTGTCGGTTTGGGCAATGTGTGGCGCTTTCCATATTTGGCGCAGAAAAATGGTGGCGGTGCCTTTTTGGTTCCGTATTTTACAATGTTGTTAATACAAGGACTACCGATTTTCTATTTGGAGCTCGCAATTGGCCAACGGCTTCGAAAGGGAGCGATAGCGGCATGGCACGAGGTAAATTCATTTTTGCAATTTTCAATTTCGAATCGCACAATTGATAATAATTTAATCGCCATTACACGACAATGTGTATTTCATCAGGTATCGCCGTATTTGGGTGGCATCGGAATTTCAAGCGCCGTAGTTAGTTACATTGTAGCGTTATATTACAATACAATTATCGCCTGGTGCCTGATATATTTTCTACATAGTTTCGAATCACCGCTCCCCTGGGCCGACTGTCCAACGCGATTATATAAGAATTTCACGTACGACATTGAACCGGAATGCGTTGCATCTTCACCCACACAATACTATTGGTATCGATCCACATTGCAGTCATCGCCGAGTGTCAACGAATTCGAAGCAATCAACTATCCCGTTGCCATTGCACTGCTGGTCGCATGGTTTCTCGTATACATTTGCATGGTGCAAGGCATCACATCGTCCGGCAAAATTGTCTACATCACAGCGATTTTCCCATATGTGGTTCTGATCATTTTCTTCTTTCGTGGCATCACACTTCATGGCGCATATGTTGGTGTAATGCATTTCTTTACACCGCGCTGGGAGTTACTTCTCGATCCGGTTGTATGGCTCGAAGCGGGTACGCAAATTTTCTTCTCGCTTGGCTTGGCATTCGGTGGTCTGATTGCGTTCAGCTCATACAATCCGGCCAATAACAATTGCTATCGAGACGCATTGCTCGTTTCGTTCACCAACTGTGGCACTTCAATGTTCGCCGGCATCGTTGTTTTCTCCATTATTGGCTTCAAAGCCACATCAACGTATGAAAAGTGCTTGACTGACCAAAAGGCATCCATTGCGGCCAATATAACAAAAAACCTACCAGAGTGCGATCTCCAACGGGAATTGGATAATGTACGTATATAAATAGGAAAATATTTGTCGAAATATTGTATGCAATTAGTGAGTGTTTGTATTTTGGTGTTATATGACTTTTGACTTTCAACAGAGTGCAAGTGGCACTGGCTTGGCTTTCATCATCTTCACTGAGGCAATCAATCAATTTCCGGGCGCTCAATTTTGGGCAGTCTTATTTTTCCTCATGCTGTTTACACTTGGGATCGACTCACAGTTCGGTATGCTCGAGGGACTCGGCACATCTCTGGTCGATATGAAACTGTTTCCAGGCCTACCAAAAGATGTTATTATTGGAGTAAGTAGAATGTACAACTGGATCTTCTCTTTTGAGACAATCAAAAGCCAAGATATTTGGTTTGTTTATTCTTTTCACGATAATTTGTCCATAAATTTATGCATATTCTCGTTTCTAATGATGCGTATTGTGCACCATAGTTTAAAACTTGAACAAAATTTGGTGACGATGTCAACCCAAGAATATCGTGTGGAAGCGGAACGCATTGCTTACAAACAAACGTTTCTCTATAATTCCAGGGTCTATGTTTATCATGTTTCATCATATCAATTGTGTTCGCCCATGGTGCTGGAAGCTATGTGTTTCAACTGATGGACAGTTTTGCGGGCAGCTACTCCCTTTTAATCATCGCTTTCTTTGAGTGCATTGCCGTTTCATATGTTTACGGGATCAAAAGGTCTTTTTTATCGATATTTCACCTAATGTGAAACGTTTCTTCTAAAAACATCAATCATTTTTCTCCCAAAATTTTCATTCAACCAACCATTTCGTTTCAATTGAAATTTATTACTGAAATTAGATTTGCTGATGACATTGAAATGATGACTGGCTCACGACCTGCATTGTACTGGATGATTTGCTGGAAATATTTGTCACCCGCAGCGATGATAATAATATTGTGTGCGTCGTTCATGGAATTGGCATCGAGTGGAAGCAGTTATCCGGCATGGATTGCCGCAAAAGGCATCACCGAACCGAAAGAATGGCCACATTGGTGCATTATAATGGCAATATTTCTAATATTGGTTTCAGTCATTTGGATTCCTGTCATCGCTATAACAAGGTAATAGCAATATGTCTTTCAGTTCGAATATCGATCGAAATTTTAATGAATTCCCCATTCGATTTGCAGACTTTTGGGCATTCCAATCATCGAAGACACCGAACCGGCTTGGTTCCCGGCAAATGAGCTACGCGAAGTGCACGGTATTGTGCCGCATGAGCCATCCGAAATTGAGCGTACACTGTTCTGCATTCAAGCGGACGGATCAGAAGGTTTCTGTTGTCCCACGTACACTTTACCTGAAGAAGAATTGCAGGAAGAGGAGTAATTCTGTAAGTTGTCAACGCTATCAAAATGTGTACCATACTATCACATTCATTAAAATTGTTAGTTGTTAGTAAATGAAGTCACTTCGATTCGAATGTAAGATAAAATGCCATTTAATTTAACTTGGAACGGTTAGTGTGAACGACACAGCGGAAAAGTAAAGAACGAAAAATGTCGAATTGGTTGATGCAAATTTTAACGATTAAGCAATTATCAATAATAATTTTAAATGTGCCGAATGACATCGATAAGAAAATTATGTTGTATTCATTTCAACCAAAAATAAAGCAAAAGCTATTATCAGAAAATCATTTGGACAAATGATGGCACATGAACAAATATGTTTAGCTTTGCTTGCAAATTATCAACAAAATATCACAAATTAGTTAACAGGGAATGTGATGCAGAAATTTGCCATCCGAAAAGAAGATGAAACAAGAAATAGTAAACAACCTGAGAGATGATAGCCAACGCGATGTAAAGCAGACAAAAATTTGCTCATTTTTTTTCGAGACGAAATTAATCATTTATAGACTCGGATATTTATTTTCCGCTTATTTTCCGCATGGTGTGATTCACATCAAATGAGGAAATTTATCATTGAAAACATTTCTGACAATAAATAGAAAGAAAAAATGTCGAAAATAGAGCGTGTTCACACATCCTCGACGGCCAATGGGCATTAAAAACCGGACATATATATACATATAGATATTTAAAATGAAGCAAGTGTATTTATTTTTTTCCCCTCATTTGAGGACAAAGATCTCATTGGTCGTATCGCAGTATTGCATAGAGTATAAAGAGAATATTGATATACAATAGTAATAAAGTGACAATAAACCTACGATTCTAACGAATGAAGAAATGACATGTAATACTCACATTAGTATATACATGTAGAACTAATAATTGAAAGACTAAAACAAATATACATGAATCTATCTATTTTTAGCTCAATTTACCGACGATGATAATTCATGTAAAATGCACTGCGTATAGCGCAATAAAGTCACTATTTCGGATATAAGGTATTAGAAGCGTAATAGGGGCTTGATAATAAATGATTGTTTAGCTCCCACCGTTTCATAGTCGATAGAATCGATAACTGAAGAAAAACCAAATACTCTGACAATAATTCATATGATATATAGAGAAAGTGAGACGACGTAGCGACGACAATAAAGTGATTATTTATCAAACTCAACCCCTTTTTTTTCGAAGTAATGCAATTCGAGTTTGTTTGTTAAAAAAAAAATTGTACCATGCATTGCGTTTCGTTATTTACTGTAACCGGTAATTTTTAAGCTGATTGATCAAAATTGGATTTTTGAGCAAAGGACAAGCGAATTGAATGGGCAATTCAATTATTATTTATTTATTTACTACATCATCAAATCACACAAATGTTCTAATATATTACTTCACCCGAAGAGCAATATTGGCTTGATTTCGTCTGAAAGTAATCATATGTTTTATGATACTTTCATTTTCGTTCATCTGGTGGTTCATCAATAGTTTCCACAGTTTTGTTTTGACACTTTGGTCCAATACATTTCTCATAAGAGTTGAAATAGACTTTTTACCTATTAGATTTGTTGTTACATTCAGGGTCAATGTGCCGATGTACACTTTCGCTTAGTATCCAAAACTGCAACAGCAGGAAACTATACATAATTTTTCTTGACCAACAACAAGATATTTGACAAAGAGGGCGCTTTCTTATGGACATTTCTATGTACAGCTGTTGGCGCCCTCTTTGGTATGTTTTAAGAACTAAGAAAGTTTCCTATCATTGCAAAACTGTTTTCGGAACATGAACAGCTACCCTAAAAATGTTTCAATTTTATGCTTTTCCAAAATATCAATATTGTTGGCTCAAATGTCCATGCGTCCTGTTGCTAATGCCCAGCCAAAGTTGCTCACATTGACGTTTGCATCAAGTGTTGTTTTGTCCTGTTCATTTTTTTTCTTCTAATTTTAAGAAGTTCCAAATTGGAAATTCAAACATTTATATCACTATCTCAATGTTTATGTTGATAAATGAATATACATATGAAGCCAATATTAAAGTTGACAAAATTATACATACCAAAATGAATAAACATATAATTCAATGAAAAATTATATCTATATCTACAATACAGAGACTCTATATATATATATATATATTATAATGTTATACAGTGAATTTATAGATCGCATAGTTACTATATTTAAATGGTACTGTTTTACTCAAATTCAATTAGAATTTATCGAGAGAATCGTTGAAATAATATCAAGGAGTCGATATTTACTGGATGTGTAAGTGGTGATGGGATTTATCAAAAAACAATGACAACCAAACTGTCAATGTATATGCATGTATAGGATAAAATAAAGTGTTTTATCAGATATAGACTATATCACCACCGGCGTATAGTTCAAAACTGAAAAATTCAAACGGACAAAACCAATTGAATTGAATTAAAAAACTACGAGTGAAATTGAGTGTCGATCATATCGAAAAAAAAAAAAACCATTGGTTTATCGAATGTTCAACAACGATGAATATCTATGAAATATTGATTTCTGTCGCTTGTGACAGGAGCCTCAACATACACAGACAAAAGCACATACTACACTCAACCAATCGATCAATCAATCAATTATTTTAAACAAAGTGAACGAACTTTGGCTAATTTAATCAGGTTCCGGTATTTTCCCAAATACGCATAAGCTTCCGATTATGGGTGGCCGGCTGCATCAATGCTGCATAAACAATAAATGGGAACTATTTTGTGACAACCCACACAGTGAATTGCACTCATATCTAAATTACGACTCATTGAAATTGCATGCATGTTTAGGCGTTTGAAAGTGTATGGCAGACAAAAATCGGCACCGTCACTTCTATTTGATATTTACTTTGCCTTTTTCAAGTTCATTCACCACCTTCATTCAAAATTCAATGTCGATTTTCCATCACATGATTTTACAGCAGCAGCAGCAGCCCGATAACTGAGTAAATAGTTTCGAATTAATTTATTCGAGCCGCTAGACTGATTTTTGTTTGTTCTAGTTTTGAAATCCAAAGACAAAAAAAAACGAGTAATGTTTCAGTTAATGAACTCTCACGAGTGAGGGGAAAGTCTGTCGAAATGTGTATACGATAAATGTCCACAGCGAACATTGATTTCCTCACCGCTCTGTCATGCAGGTAATCGGATTATTTGGTAATAAGTTAATATTTGGTTATTAAGTGAATTAAACCTAATGTTTTTGGAGAACCGTTTACATCTGTGGCCACTGCTCTTCATCGTCGTCGTTGTCAACTGCATGCCCATTAGTTGTGACAGAGACCGATACACTAATCCTTTGTCACGCTCGTTATGTTTGTCGTCATTTCGGTTTAATTTTTTCATCCATGATGCCATCAGCCGTTTAATAATAATGAACAATGGACGCCCAAGAAACTACGAGTTTTTTTTTTTTTGAAAAAGGGTACCAAAACTAAGCCTCAAAAGTGTCGAATAACACACGGAGCAGTAACAATTATAGACACGAATCTAATTCGTTCTATGAATTAAATTGACGGTTTCTATCGAAACGGAATGTTACGTTGGACTTTTCCTTAAGACAAAGAGGAAGCGGAGGTGGAGAGGAAGTTGTTGCATGCATTAAAAACATTAAAATACGTAGACTAAACTATTTGATTAAAAATTGATGTTTCCAGTCCGTTTTTTTTTTCTGAGCAATTTTACATTAAATATATCATATCAATTTGAATGTGTATTTAAAATCACAAATTTTTCGTCGGAATTTTCCGTCACATTTTTTTTTTCCTTTAAGCAAAAAGTCAAAAAGTTCAAAGTTATTATTGAATCAAAAAAAAAAAAAAAAAAAAAAATAATAATAATCCACACAATTTGAAAATGTGTGTGTATGTGTTATTCAAATTTTGAAGTATTTTGAATGAAATATTTGAGAACAAAAAAAAATTGAACTATAAAAAAGAAGAAAACCCGAAGAAGTAGAGAAAAAAAAACAAATTCGATAAGAAACTATCGATCTCAATTTGACAATAAGATTAAACCTAAAACAAACCAATAAACCATAAGCATACCAAAACTGACAACCACATTGATTTATGAACAAAGATTAGAGAAAAAAAAAGTTTGAAATGCCGAAAAATTAAACAAGCGTTTCACAAAAAAGTGTGTAAGTTATGCCTACCCAAGAGCAAACAATAAATAAATAAACAATAAACTCAAAACATAATCTATGCCAAAGTGTTGTTTTCATTTTCGAAAGAAAGATTCTATTCTTCAGTTCTAGATGGTCAAGTTTAACAGTTTAGGTCAGTGATGGATTCGAATCGGCTGGATAATTAACATATGGGTCAAATTTATGCTGAAAACTGAAGCAACCCAACTAGGGTAACTAGATGCTGATGACGCGGCGTGTAGGCGTGCATATTTAAATAAGCCATGCTGCTCGACGTATGTTTTTTTTTCTCCTCTGTCATACCATTCATGCGTAACACATATTCTTCTTTCTTAAACGCCAAATCAGTTCGCATAAATATGTAGCAAAGTCGATAAATCATTGCATCAATGATTGCCATTCAACTTGCTATTCGAAAAGTGCTTCATTCATCAAATTGATTAATTACATTTTGAGCTCGGGCGTTGATATCATTCTTTCGCTTTGTCTTCGGTCCATTGAAATTAGGGCTTAGAGAATTTCATCAGAGAAATCTGCATCTTTGCCCAATTGAATTTCACTGATTTCACTGAAAGCTGTTAAAACAGAAGTCAACACAGACACATACACACAACCCGAAGAATAAATAAGAAACTTCATCGATTTTAGTCAATATTTTATTGCCAATCTCGCGCCTGTATATGCTTTCTTTCGTGTGTGTGTGCGTGTATGCTGTTCTCTAGTTTGGTTCAACACGGCCGATCATATTGCCGATTCAGCCTATGTAAACAGAGAGCGTTGTCATTCGCCTTTGCACACACGTTTTCGATCCAGTCCATCTAAAAAAACACACTCGTATGAATGGCCAAAATATTCAAAATTCCATGGTACCTTGTGCAAACTCGTTCATTTAATGTTCAAGTCTAAAATTGTTGCTAGAGCCGAAAATAACCACAACAACAACAAAACAACGCACCAAAAGAGTGGTATGACAAGATTGAGAGAGAGAGAGTGAGAGACGAGAAAAAAAAAACTACACCGAGAAATATTAATTTGAATCACACGATCCCCTATTTGTCAGTTGGTCAATGCACCTTTTATTTCTAATCGCCTTGAAAAACATCGTTGACACTTTAGAACCAGCGAAAGGTGTATATATGTGTTGCTTCTTCCCAAGCAAATCCTATTATCTAGAATATTTCTCGTTTCTATTTTTTCTCGTTCTGTTTTCATGCAAACACCCGATCGAACGCGGTGCCGATGGAACGTTGGTAAACGACAAAGAAACGATTCTCGTGTGCGTCCTAGACTTCATCGTCGTTCTTAAAATTCGTCAAGCAAGTGAGAGATGCAGAGAGTGAGCGGAACAACAAGTACCAAGAACCGAAGAGTTCACTGATATCGAACCGAATCCGGATCAATACTTGTATGTGATTGTAAGCTGTGTGCTTAGAAATACACCCAAACTCAATTCCTCATACATATCAACAAACATTCTAAGCTAATGCATATGTAATAGAGGTTGAAGTTTCGTCTTTATTACGAAAGAACGCACAAAGAATACACACATACACACATCATAGTTTTATCATCAATATGGTTTAAGAATATAAAAAAGCCAATAAAAGACATTGTATACTGAACATGTTGCTTGTTTTGTCATTCATTGTGAATGTGTATATTTAGCGAGTATTTGTCATGTGTGTTCTATTCATCCCGTGAATCATGGACAAAAATGGTCATAAAACGAATTTTTATTCATAAAAACTGTGTAATAATATCCTATCGTCATCACTCACTCGCGCATCGATATGCAAATCATATTTTATAATTCTACTACGAAGTTGTGAGAATTTTCGGTGAGGAGGGTCCAGAGGCACTTGGTGTGCCAGAGCAACCTGATTCGTCAAAAGAAAAATTCATTAATTTATATGAACTATGCTAATATCTTTTTTGTTTTCTTTTCTTCTCACCCTCTCTCTACCTACCTATCTCTCCCTCTCTCTCTCTCTCTCTCTCTCTCTCTCTCTCTCTCTCTCTCTCTC